TTGAAATGGAGGCAGCTCATCAACCATTTTGTGGACCAGATGATTTATCCCTGTTAAGGGGGAGATTAAAGACAAAAGGACAGTAATTGAATATGAACTGGGAAACAACGGGTCAAAGATAGAACAGAAGAGATTGGCATTAGGACAAGCTCTATTCTCTGAGACCAAAGGGAAGAAACATATTTGGGGTGAATAAAAGAGCTTGGGGTAGTGGTTCTTCATCTTTGTGCTTCATCTGTGCATTGCTTAGCACACTCTCTTATACAAGATGGGCAGTTAATAAATATTTATGTGTGTTGAATATTTTGAAACAAAGTTAAACAGATGTTTCCTACAAATTAGTACTTCAGCGTACATGACCAAATAAAGATATTCCAGGGAAAAGGTTATCTTGAAGAAACACTGAAATCTGGCTGCCTTTCTATTTGAGGATAAATAGTTGCTTAATGTACCATCTTTGTCTGAAAAGATTTTTAATACTGAATTCATGGATGTAGGTCATAAGCATGAAGCGCAGTTCGGTTTCCACTGGTGGTGCTGGCCGCCTCTCTATGCAGGATTTAAGGTCCCAGGACTTCCATAAACAAGGCCTCTATACCCCTCAAACGTAAGTGTCTTCCTTGTGGTTCTAACCAGCATGCTTAAACAAAGAAATCTTAAAATAGATAACACAAAGACGTAATATGAATGATGTCTTAGGTGAATCCTGTCTGTTCCCAGTGGTACCTAATTTTGGATCAGTGAAGTCTAAAAGTGGGCATGATGTTGTGTGTCATCTCATTTGTTTCTTAAATTCCCAAATCCAAGTGCTTTACCAGGCACCCCATAAAAGGACTGTTAATTCTTCAGCACTCTTGCTATCCTCCTTTATACTAGAGCTATTTGTTTGAGTACTCTGCTGTAATTTTCAGTTTACTGAGATCCAACTAGTGAAGTTCTCAATCAAATCAGAGTGGTTGATAAGAAGTTGTAATGTAGTAGCAACCTACAAAACACCACTTGTCCTGTTTCCTCAAGATTCACTGGGAGAGTGTCCAAAATAATGTCCTATCATAACCATAGTTTCCATTATTAAAAGATTTTCTTCTGGTTAAGAGAGGCTGTTTGTTATCCACTGTAGAGTTATAGCAATCCTCTAACATCTAGCTACATGTTACTAACTGTTCTTAAATTAGTTGGGTTTACATAGTATATGCCTCTGCTTATTTTAGAAATTTGAAATATTATGTATTTTTCCTTCTGAATATTTGAAAAGAGAAATTTTTTGAGCTATTGCACATTGCTCACACTAAAAATTTAGGCTTTGAACTGTATTAGAAGCTAAAAAGTCACCATTGTCAATGTTTCTTTGTCTATAATTTAGATAATTTATGTCAAGTGCATCCACATTCTGATGAAGAGGTTTTAAAATAAAAAATTTAAATGTGGCTATGATCCTATGATTGAATTTATTTTAAATTTGTTTTCTTTCTCCTTAAAGTGGCTTTCATATATGTGCATATTTTAAAGTCATTGAAATCGTAATATAGATAGAATTTTTGTCCTGCACCTGAAAAGAGGAGATCTAAGTACAAGAAACTCTTACTGAGAACAAGCTAAAGGCTTAAATCTGCATAACAAACCTCTTTGACTTGTTTGTTACACCTTTCTTTCTCTTGACAATAATAAGCCAAGAACAATTTCAGCTACTGTTGTTGCTAAAAATTGTTATGATTTTGAATTATTTTATAAGCAATGGGGAAGAGCAATACTGATTATAATATATTTCCAAAATTCTCTTGACCTAATATTTTTTATATTTATTTTAAAGAGTTGTTTTTCTACATTTCTTAAAGGAAAGAGAAAACAGCCTTTGGAAAGTTGAGTATGAACAAACCCACATCTGAAAGAAAAGTTTCTGTATTTGGTAAAAGGTAATGACATTTTTTATTAGTTCTGATAAATGAATTCTTATCGCCATACATTGATGCCTTCAGAGAACAAAAATGTACATGATATGGTCTAGTTTTCCTCTGTTTTAAATGGTTAAAATTTCTGGCCGAGCACAGTAGTTAGTTCACGCCGGTAATCCTAGCATTTGGGAGGCTGAGGCAAGTGGATTACTTGAGCTCACAAGACAAGCCTGAGCCAGAGCGAAACCTTCTCTCTAAAAATAACCACACATTGTGGCAGGTGCCTGTAGTCCCAGCTACTGGGGAGGCTGAGGCAAGAGAATTACATAAGCCCAAGAGTTTGAGGTTGCTGTGAGCTGTGATCCTACAGTACTCTATCAAGGATGACAAAGTGAGACTCTATCTTAAAAAAAAAAAAAAGTAAAAATTTAAAGTTATATCTCCTTTAGAAGGTATATTAACACATTCAGAACTATTAACTATTCATTGTTAATTCAGAATATTAACTATTTCATTGTTACAAGTGAATAGTTGATTAAAATTCTGTATTTCACATTAGTAAATGATCTGGAAAAATAAGATAATTAATTAGCTATTAATCAGGGTAGTTGTATAAGAGAGGCCAAACTAAAGAACTCTTAAATCCTCAGCAGGAAAGAATTTACAAACAGCTTGCAGGGAAAAATGAAGTTTTGATGAATAGAGTTCAAATATTAACAGCAATTTTTTTGTGTAACTCATTTTTTTGTCCAATAAGGAAAATTATTCTGAGAATATTTAATAAGCTACAATGGTTAGCTAAATTGGGCCACAAAGGTGAGCAAAAGGATCCATTACAAAGATTATTTAAGTAAGTAAGTGTTTATTTGGGGGGCATGTAGTATATATGCTACAGCCATTAAGTAGCACCATGTATACTTATGGTGAATCAGTCAGGTGCATAGTATAGGTATTGCATGACAGAAATGTTCCTGAGAAAAAGCCTGCACAATCTATTTTAACATAGTATATATCAAAGGCAGCTTTCCACAAGAAATAATGGCAAATGAAAGAATTGGGAGTAAGAGAGTAAGCATAGGGTGATAAATAGAATAGTAAAAGGAATTTGATTATTGAATGCACTTAGAGAATAGTTAGTACAGAAAATCTAATGGACTTGAAATATACATGCTTAGAGTATGGCATGTGTGTGGGCAGTGTGAAGCACCACAGGTGGGTTTCTTTTTTTTGAGACAGTCTCAATTTGTGGCCCCTGGTAGAGTACCGTGGCCTCATAGCTCACAGCAACCGCCAACTTTTGGGCTCAGCAACTGTCTTGCCTCAGCCTCCCAAGTAGTTAGGACTACAGGTGTCTGCCACAACACCCAGCTATTTTTTCTTTAGAGATGAGGTCTTACTCTGACTCAGGCTGGTCTTAAACCTATGAGCTTAGGCAATCCACCCATGTTGGCCTCCCAGAGTGCTAGGATTATAGGTGTGAGCCACAGCACCTGGCCAACAGGTAGGTTTCTTTCCTCACCTCATTTTGTATTTGTTAGCAGGTATAACCTCTTACTTTTTATTTTTGCTCTTTTTCTCTGCTTTATATAAGAGAATTCTGTTTAGTTAAATAAGAATGAAAGAATTAGGGGTGACATCTGTGGCTCAGTGGGTAGGGTGCCAGCCCCATATAATGAGGGTGGCGGGTTCAAACCTGGCCCCGGCCAAACCACAACAAAAAAATAGCTGGGCGTTCTGGCGGGTGCCTATAGTCCCAGCTACTCAGGAGGCTAAAGCAAGAGAATCACTTAAGCACAAGAGTTGGAAGTTGCCATGAGCTGTGATGCCATGGTACTCTACTGAGGGCAATGAAATGAAACTCTGTCTCTAAAAAAAAATGAAAATTAAACTTTGATGTTTGGAGCTGATGTTAAAATATAAAATTGCCTTAAAATAATTTAGACTTGACTGCAAAAGGAAATGGTTTTCACTGACTTTTTAAAAATGTGTTTCCGTATAACTAGTGGACATGGATCCCGGAATAGTCAACTTGGTATATTTTCCAGTTCTGAAAAAATTAAGGACCCAAGGCCACTTAATGACAAAACATTCATTCAGCAGTGCATTCGACAACTCTGTGAGGTACTTTATATTTTGAAATATTCTAAATTGTGTGTTCTGTTAGGTGTCTTCCAGTAAGTTTCTATTAAGGAATGTTTAATGTTTCATAAAAATTACTGTAGTTTCTTACAGAAAATGGTTATGCACACAGTGTATCCATGAAATCTCTACAAGCTCCGTCTGTTAAGGACTTCCTGAAGATCTTCACTTTTCTTTATGGCTTCCTGTGCCCCTCATATGAACTTCCTGACACAAAGTTTGAAGAAGAGGTTCCAAGAATCTTTAAAGACCTTGGGTATGTATATTTCTCATTAGTTTAGCAACATTATTAGAGCACAGAAAAGAATCAAACTCAATAAATTTATAAAGAGTTTGGGTTAGAAAAATAACACATTTTGGG